CTCCGTTCGTGAACTCTGCCTCGCGTTACGAACACGCCCACGCCCATCTTCCCCGCTCTGACACAAGGTCGTGTCTTCCTGTACTCGAGATTGTGGTCGCAGACAGGGCTGTGGACACTTACTGTGAAGCTTTTTTGTGTGCTTTGTAGCACAGTAGTGTACAGTATTACTGTATTCAATCCAGCATGGCTCCCAAGAAAGTGCAGAGCAAGCATGGTGGGAAAAAGAAAGCGCAGAGCATTAATGAAGGTGACAAGAATGTGCAGAGCATTAATGAAGGTGACAAGAATGTGCACAGCAAGAACGGTGGTAAAAAGAAACTTGCGGTGACATTTTTTTTTTTCTTCATATGGTTCAGAACGGATTAACCTGATTTACATTGAACCCAATGGGAAAATGTGATTCGGTTCACAACCAAAAATCGGTTCGCAAACTCATTCGTATGGGTCAGAACGGATTAATCTGATTTACATTGAACCCTATGGGAAAATGTGATTCGGTTCACAACCAATTCGGTTCGCGACCAGAATCGTGGAACCAATTAAGTTTGTGAACTGAGGTACCACTGTACAGGAATATGATAAACTTAATGAACACAATCTTTCCAATGTGCAAATTTGTACATTAGTAATATAAATGGAGGCAGCCTTATCTGCCCATTGCTTTGTACCTGATAGATTCCTAAACTTTCTATGGGTTATTTCATCTGATCTCAGCAATCTTTCGGTGGGACCACTGACCACTTAGACTGAGAGCAGTTAGAAGGAAAATCTACAAACCTTTATATAAAAACAGTAATCAGAATATGGGCCAACCAGCAAAAAATTGCTTCAGGTGAATGACTGAATTAAGTTCATCAATGGCTCTAAATGTGTATATGCTGAAAGCCTCCAGAGGATAGGTGCTTACACCAACATCCAAGTGGGCACCACACAGACTCAATCCATTCTAAACCCCAGCCCATCCTCTAGTATTGTTAGATGCTTAGTTATATGGGGGTAAACATCCAAAATAGATGTGCACACAATATTGATGCTTTAGGTATGTGCCTAATTTGCCAACATGATCAATACAGTCTTGTTTTAGGAGAATGTGTACATTCTGCTGTTACATTAATTCTACTTTTTAGCAGAAATTAGTTTCAGAATAGCCCTGACGCAGCTAATATTTAGTGTTGCAGCTGGTTAAAAGAGAACCTGTCAGAAAAAGCTGCTGTCACAGCTGAGGCTTCCATCTAGTGTTGGAGACTGTCACTGGCTGGCTGCCAAAAGTGCTGCTGGCATGGGGGCAAATACCTAACCATACGTAATGCTGCTTATGTTTACTCCTGTTTGCAACTAGCAATGCTTCTGGGAGTCAGTGGCAGCCTAATGCATTTAATGGAGCCTTGGCTGTAACTTTCATCCTGACAGCTTCTTTTCATTATATATTGGGTAGCTTTTGGACTGTCTTTAATATGTTTCTGTAGGTATTACAGCTGACTAAGAATAATAAAGGTTGTATGTTCATTAGTTAAAACCAATGGCTATATTACTCAAAATAAAACTCAAGTTAAATATAACACATATTTTCGACCAGTATTAATTTAAAAACCATATTTAAGAAATGTTCAAATATAATCACCTTCAAGAAATATCTCATTTGACTTCCTGTAGTCCCCTTTACATGAGAAATTAGCAAACAGCCCTATGAGACATTTTAAGCACTATAACATTGCACTGTGTTGTCATCCTAACGTGTTTCAGGCACTATGAGGTATTTCAAACATCAGAAAACTAAAGAGCAGTAGACTGGAGGGTGTCATGCTCCAGGCTTTATAGTGCAGCAGGAGCATGAGAAACACTGTTAAAATATTTCAATAGGAAAAACAGTTCACATATATGGTTTTCAATTCTATATGTAGCTATATGGCTGCAGAGTAGCCTGAACCAAGGTTGTACACAAGGGTCATGATCATAGGATGCCTTAACTACACCATAACATTTGCCAAATACCAGAGCTGCCATATTGTTACTCCTAGCTTGGCATTGCTCCAACGGCTTACATTAGGTGCAGATAAAACATTAGTTTGTCCATTTGTCCAACCAAACCAGCCCTTGTAATACCAGTAATGTGTATTACCTGTGTGTTGTATGACACATCCTAGATGCCTTTCTGGGTCAGAAGGCAAGGATTAAGGCCAGCTGTACTGAAGACTTGAGTTGTCTCCAGCTGGACCTCAGCTCTAATTCACAAAGCTGATCATTAGGTGATGTCACTGAGGATACAGTGCTCTTTCAGCAGCAGAGGCACAGAACACATTAAAAACGGAATTACACATGCTAGCAGATGTGTGTGTGTGTGTGTGTGTATATGTATGTATACACATACATATACATATATATAGATATATACAGGGCTCAAAATTTCAAGTCCTGAGCTACTAGCCAGGCCTTAAGAGTTATTAGCCACCAGTTGCCCCGCCTAACTCTTACCCTGCCCTGGCCTTAACTCTGCCCCTAAACACACCCTCTTAAGTAATGTTATGATAATTCTTATCTTATGATAGTTTCTGCTTGTAAACGGCAGATTCGGGATTCCTGCTGCAGGAAAACGCAAGTTCCTGACACAGGAATCTCTAATCACACCTGAAACATACTGTAGGTGTGAATGGGGCCTAATATACACATACACTAAAGGTGCCCATACATCTGCCGATTATCGTACGATAGTTGTGGGTGATCCCACGATCGTACGATAATGGGCAATGTGCGACCGCTTCTACTGTAAGGTCGCACGTCTTTCGTCTTCCGAGCACGCTGGAAAACCTGCCGAAAATCGTACGTTTTTTGGCATGTTGGTGGCGTGGTCAGAAGACGAATGCCGCACAGGCCGGTGTGCGCAAGCGCGCACTGCCCGCTCAGCACTGCAATCATCGGAAGCCCTCCCCTCAGCAGGGAGGGCTTGCGATGATCGCATGTACGATCTACCTGTCCAAGATGGGCAGATCGTACGAAATTTTAAAGACCTTACAACCATCGCACAATGAAGGTTGTGCGATGGTTGTAAGGTGTATGGGCAGCTTAAAACACAATAATACACTTCTCAACGTTACACCCCCCCCATCACCCCCAGCTAACCAGGGATCGATCCTCCTCACATACATCCTTTCGGCTGGAGCTCAGAACTATCAGAGCCGGAGCTGACAGGAGCTGCTCTGCGACACAGATGCAGACCGTGGAGCTGCTCCCGCAAGTCAGGTACGCGG